TGTTTGGTCAATTTCAGACTATAGAAGTTGGTAAAAGTGTTCAATTTCTTTCTCTTAGGTTTTAGTTGTTGTATTTGAGTAATAGTCGTATTTAGTGGTCTTCTTCGTAGATAGATATACTCAGTATGGATGTTATCCTATCACTGATAGCATTGTACTTCAGGACAGACCTTGACATGTTCTCGATGATGAATGCAACGCTGCTCCTCTTTAGTTTGTCATTCCCAGCATCATAGGCCAGATTCAAAGTGGCCAATACCAGTCCATTTTAGCTCACTAAGGCCTAGGATGTCAATCTCCATTTCATTTTTGACAACTTCCAATTTTCCTAGATTCATACTTCATATATTCTGTGTTTTGATTATTAATGATCATTTACGGCTCTTTCTTCCCATTTTGAGTTGTGCCACTCGGCAAATGAAGGTCCTGGATGCTTTCCTCCCTGCATGTCTTTAAGCTCACCTCTACTCTGAGGACGCATCTCTTCTCCAGTTGTATTTTGAATGCCTTCCGACCTGACGGGTCATCTTCTGGTATTTTTCTCAGGGTTTCCCTGCTATCCAGAAAGGGTTCAATGGGTAGTTTTTCTTGTAGAAATGGACCTGGCCACGTCCTTCTTCCGAGTCTGTCTTAGTCTGTAGCTCTGCTGAAACCTGTCCACCATGGTGACCGTGCTGGGATTTGAAATACCGGTGCCATAGCTTCCAGCCTCACAGCAACACGCACCACCACATTCTGACAAACTGACAAACGAGTGGTAGCTCTTAGCATTAGACAACACTAATGTTCCTCCAACAGCAGTTGTGAACGTGGCACAGGACGGGGCAGTGTTTGGTTCGGTTACATCCCAGCCTTCTCCACAGCAGCAGACAGCAGCAATCACGTTCATGAGACCGGTTGATGCTCGTACAGGATGCGTAGAATTCCTCATGTCTCCCAGCTCGGCATCTCTGGTAACTTTGGAGTAGCCTTCTCCCGTCTTTCCCTTTCAGATGACACAGTGCGTTCTTGGGGTCAGCTGGGTTGGGCTTTGCTGTGCTGAGGGCGGTGTGACCTGAGCCCCCCCGAGCGTCTCTGTGGCTGTGATTCGAGTGCCGGCTCTGGCCTCTGCCTGGCACGTCAGGCTGGGACTGCAGCAGCGAGCAGGCCCAGGCGGCTTGGGCACGGTCGGGCCTACCTCACAGAGCTGCATTTGACAACTGAAAGTTAGTTTGCTCTTGGCGCTCAGTCCCATCGCCATCAGCAGTCTTGGTCTGCTAACAGTGGAGCCATGTACTGGGGATGGGGACGGTAAAGGGAGGAGATAACACAGTGTATTCAGTCAGCAGAATCTCACAGCTGCTCCTTGCTGTGAAAACAGCCTTACTGTCAGCTTACGTTGTCCTTAGGTCATGTTTGTCACTTCAGAAATTACACAGCTTTCTTGCGCATGCGTGCCTGCTCCCCTGGAGCATAGTGTATTTCTGTGGCCTCTTTCTTCTTCAAGTTCAGATCCTAAAGACCGGGAAACATGGCATCCATTAGAACAGGAGGATTAAAGTCAGCCTTGGGACCAGTGTTTGATCCTGATGAGGGAACGGAAGGCCGCAGTATCTGAAACTGAGCCATAGTGGACCCATGGCCACCCACCTTCTTCCTCAAGAGGCAGAGCCCTGAGGCTTGTCCCCTGTGGTCCTCTGTAAACTGAGGACACAGAACTAAGAGTGAGACGGCACTCCTGCCCTGAGGTGCTGCATAGCAGAGGACAGAGAGGAGTGACAGCAACCCTGCCCTCTCCGTGGCAAATGCCTCAGGCAGGTGGTGTGCAGCCCAGTGTCCTCTTGGGGTATGGGTTTCAAACCCAGAGCCTCCAGAGACTGGAAAGCTTCTGGAAGGGGTGGGAAGTGGAGAAATACCCAGACGTCATCAGAAGTCCCATCATCTTGAGTCAGCACAGCTAATTGGGAGAAGAGGTCTCGTTGTCTAGTGAGGAACTCTGTCTCCCACCGTGAGACATTGTCGTGCATGGAGTGCCTAACGTGTTCATGTCTGTATCTGGAGTAAAGCAGGAACCACGGATGGGCTGCTGGTTATTAGAGCAGCAGCACGGGGACTGGCCGTTCTGCACAGCGTTTAACCTGTGTAAGTCTTGGGGGTAGGGGATGGGCTTTCCCAGTGTCAGGTGCACTCAGTACCAGGCCACTGAAGCCCAGCTTCTAGGGCAAGCAGAAAAAGGAGGGCAGTCTCTGTTGATGTAGCCAAGACACACTGCAAGCAGGAGTGGCCCGGCCAGGGCCCCTCGGACTCAGTGTCTGCCACCCACCCTCACCTACACAGCTGCTCCCTCTGCTCCTCTGCACAGAGTTGGGGACGGTCACCTCTACAGAAAAATGAGGCTCTAATAGTCTCCCTGGGCGATGGCCCACCCAGGGGTTAGGGACTGACGGTGGAAGGGTGACTTAGGCCTGGGCCACCCAGCTGGAGTCATCTGTCCCTCGGCCCCGCCTTCCAAAGTCTCTCCAGGGCATTTTCCTGCCCTAGGGCCTTAGCTTGGGTGAGGGAGCTCTGGTAGCATAGTGGCTAAGACACTTGCCTGCTAACCAGACGGCTGGCGGTTCAAACCCACCAGCCACTCCTCGGAAGGAAGGTTGGGCAATCCTACTTCTGTAGTGATACTGCCTCGGAAACCCAAGGAGGGGTCGCTATGAGTCGGGTTTGACTCTATGGCACATAACAACAACAACAACAACAATAGGGCCTTAGCTGTCTTCTGGAGCCTGGGCCTGATCAAAAGCTCCTCTTTCCAGAAAAGATTCCCCAAGACCAGGTAGAAGGCGGGTGGAGGGGGCTCAGAGCGCCGTGCTCTGAAATGGTAGCTGGCCAGCCCTCGGGTCACATGCGTGCCACACGCATGCTCCGGTTTTATGGTGAGTGTCCGTGACATGTGATTGAGGGAAGGTGTGGTAAAGTGTCTGAGTTGACTTCTGAGTGAGCAGGACCCGTGGGCCCCTCTCGCCTGGCACTAGGAAGCCTTGGTCAGTCCGGGCACGTTCGAGGACTTTGTCCCTGACCACGTTGTCAGAGTTCACATCTCACCGGCAGTGATTTGTGGCTTGTCCGTGTGATCAGACACAGCCGCTGGCTGTGAGGAGAATTCATCTGAAGGAGGAAAGAGAGTAGCGTCTCAGCCAGTGGGTGATTCCTTCACGTGGTGAGGCCCTCTGTCCTCCAGCACATTGGCATCTGCTCACACTTTGGGGTGCCCTCAGTTTCCTTCTTCATGTAGAACCGGGGCTTTGCTTGTTTTAATTAGGAAACCTCACTGTGCTTGATTCTCCTGGGGACGCCGAGGTGGCTGTTGCATTCTCTGGTGTGATTATGCCCAGGTAATGAGACTTTTATTACTCCTTGGGGACCTGAGGTTGTGTTAGGAACAGTTACTGGGTCTTAGGTGGAGGGATTGGCTCAGGAAGGTGTGCTTCTCAACACAGACGTCAGAGTCTTAAAGTCTGCTCCTGTTTACACTTATTGAAGAGCCAGTATTTACCCTTAGAAATAAAAGGTCCTATAGTATGTTATAGGAGCTTGGTGGCATAGTGCCTAAGGCATTTGACTGCTAACCAGAAGGCTGGCAGTTCAAACCCACCAGCCACTCCTCAGAAGGAAGGTTGGGCAATCTACTGCTTTAGTGATACTAAAGGGGTTCCATTCTGACAACTGTCATCAGTCGCTTCTGACGTAAGTCGAGTACCTTTTTTTTTTTTTAAGTTTTCATTATTAGTGCCTTTTATAATTAGTGTCTTTATAAATCATAGCAATGAACATGTGCGAATGACAACATTGGCAGACCACACATTGCAATATTGTGTGTTGTACGTATTAGTAACAATAGAATGTGCGCGTGTGCACACACACACAGTCGTCGTTTTGGCTTAGCTCATTGTAACTGGAGTATGTTGTGAGTCGAGGATGCCCTCTGAGTGTGCCCATCCTCTCAGCCCCAGTCATATCCTCCCACCTCTGCTTTTTGTCTTGAAAATACCAGTCTTGGTTTGAAAGCCACATGGGCAGACAGTGCTTGAGGTTAGTGTCACAGAGTCCATAGCATTGTCTAATGAGCAGATGAAGGCCTAGTGGACAGAGTCATCTTGAAAGATACAATGTACAGTGTGGTCAAATGCCAGTCTGGATATTTAAAAACAAGGCATCTGCCTGACCAGGAGGGCCCGCTGTCCTCCCAGCAGACGCTGGAGTTGCCTTCGGATCCAGGGCTTCATGGTCTCCCCCGTGGGCACTGAGAGGAGTGGCAGGGACTTAAAGTCTTCTGATGTGAAGCCGTGGGCTCGCCCACGGATAGCCTGGTGACCGAGCAGGCCCTGTAACTGAATAAAGCAGCTGCTGTCAGTCAGCCTTGACTTTAGGAGAGGCCTCAAGCGTGTCAGAGTAGAACTGTGCTCCGTAGCGACTTCAGTAGTGGAGTTTTTGGATGCAGATTGCCAGGCCTTTTTGGCACCACAGGTCCCAGTGGGGGGGTGGTTCGAACTACCCTTTCAGTTAGTGGTGTAATGTTTCCCCATTTGTGCCACGCAGCAACTCTAGTCAGCTACATAGGAGTATAGAGTGGAAACGGCCAAGACCCACTCATTACGCGCTTGCTCTAGTCAACTGTTACTTGTGTCCACAGCCTGTTCAATGTTAAGGGGCTCTTCCGGAGATAGGCTTCTTTGTTTGGACCCAGGTTTGGGTTCCTCTTGCTAAGTGTTGCTTAACTGGGGGTGCATTTCCCTGGAACCTGCTCTTACCTGGGGCAGGAAGTTTCTTCTGGTTTTACATTGGTGGTGATTCTTTGCTGTGTGAGGAGATGGCTCTGCTGACCAGGCAAACCCAGGCACTCTCTGCACAGACCTGACGTGGACGTAAGAGTCATACTGTGGGAAGTTTCTACAGAGGATGCGTTTGGCACCCTGTCTTACATGTGCATCTCATGGTGCTGTTCTGTTTTGACTTCTTGCTCCTTGCAGGCATGAATTGCTTGAGGAAGCCCGGAGACAGGGTCTGCCTTTTGCACAGTGGGACGGGCCGACGGTTGTCGTGTGGCTGGAGGTATGTCACTGTTTCATGCTTTGTTGAGTGTGCTGCATCGTGTGAAGGTAGGAATCCCTTCTTAGATGCCGTGACACTCTGCCCTTACCTTCTCTGTCTGCAGCTCTGGGTTGGGATGCCAGCCTGGTACGTGGCCGCCTGCCGAGCCAACGTGAAAAGTGGGGCGATCATGTCGGCCTTGTCGGACACAGAGATCCAGCGGGAGATCGGCATCAGCAACCCCCTGCACCGGCTGAAGCTGCGGTTGGCCATCCAGGAGATCATGTCCCTGACCAGCCCGTCGGCCCCACCCACGTCCAGGACGGTGCGTAGCTGGGACATGCACTTGTGCTTCCAGAGGGAGGGAAGCTTCAGGAAGGCAGCAGCTCCCTGTCCACGCTGCTCCTGCTCCCCTCGGACACTCCAGTGACGCTCTGGTTCCCAGCGTTCGCGTTCGGGAACCCTAGAGCTTAGTCGTGAGAAGCGCATAGTTAAACAGCACTTTCTTGGACTTTTCAACAAGGTCATTGGGTAGAGAAACAAGGGTTTTTTAGAAGTAGAAAAGTAATTGTCACAAACTTACATGGTAATGTATTTAAATTTTATCAGGCTAAGGGCCTCTTAAAGAAGGAAAAGAAAAGTTCACATTTAAGTTCACATTTGATGCTGAGGCTCCTTGAGTTCACTGCCTACCCAGGATCCACACCAAATCGTGAGCCGCTGCCGAGTCCCTTCTGACTCCCGGTGACCCTACGCGTGCAGAGCACAGCTGTCCCACAGGCTCTCTAAGGGCCTGGCCTTTCTGAAGCACGCCCCCAGGCCTTCACTCCAAAGCACCTCTGGGCTGGCACAACTCAGGGCCTCCCGAGTTAGTGACTGTGCGAGAGGATACTGGCCAAGGCAGTTATAGTGTAAAAGAGCACCCCAGGAGAGCCAGCACCCACAGATAAATGGGGATTTCCCCAGGGCCTGGGGGCCCTCCTGCTCCCTTCAGTCTCCTCTTCCCACCTGACTTCTAGCACCGTAGACGAGTTTTCTCTCTTTAGGACTTCCATTGTGGCGTCTGAGAGTGAGCCCACCCGACCCTCTCTGGCTTCTTTGACTCAGCCTGTGTGTGGGCTCGGCCGTAGGGTGGTGTGTGGGTAGAAGTTTCAGCACGGAGATCTTTTCTCCCGCAGAGAACCAGGCATCCGAGATGTATCCATTTAGAAAGAGCTGACGTATTTGGAAGGGATGCTTCTTACCTGTTCATCAACATTGGTCCCTAAAGAACTGTCTCTTCCCTCCTCCTAATTCCAATCTGTAGGACAATATTTTGTAAAAATTGGAAGGGAGAAAAGAGCAGAGACCAGCTTCCCAGTTGTATGTGAGCAGTGTCTTACTACATCTGACTTGTTCGCTCTCTCGGTGCGTTGTGACCTGGTGGCAGTCTATAGACCGGAGCTGAGGATTTCACAATCCAGAAACGTACAAGCGTGTGCCAAGCATCCGCTGTGCTCAGCCTCCTCCTGTGGGAAGTCCTTGAACATCCTTGAAAAGGCTATTCCTACCGTAGAAAGTTACAGACTAGTCTTAAAAAACATGATGGGCAGGCCGACCCCTAATCTTTTCCATTGGCTGACACCCACTCTTTGCTTTATATCTGCTTTGGAGAAGAAACAAATCCCGTTAACAGAAAGGAAGAACCCACATGGCGGAACTTGGAGCAGTAGCAATAGTAGCAATAGCAACAGCGTAGCTGTTCAGGACTCACAGTCACTTTACACACCAGCACTAAGGGCTTCCAGCTCGTTGCACGTCATGCGCGAGAGACCGCAGCAGCCGGCAGGAGCCCCTGTCTTGGCCTCTTGCTCCAGCGGGTGCTCACCAGTGGAAGCTTGTGAACACAGCAGCTTGGGTCCCCCCCCAACTTTTTCATGGAAGGGTGAACAGCTTCTTGTCAGTTCCCTTCCTGACCCTCGTGGAAGACTGGGTGGCACCATGGCAGTCCCCTCCCCATCTGTTTCGTGGGAGAGTAAATCGCCTTCTTGGTGGCTCCCTCCCCAGCTGTTTCCGAGAAGAGTGAGTGGCGAGAAGAGTGAGTGGCGTAGGCAGTTCCCTCCCTGACTTTCATGGAAGTGAATGACCTTGGTGGTTCCCTCCCTGACTTTTGTGGAAGAGCGAACAGCGTCCTTGGCGGTTCCCTTCCCGACTCTTGTAGTAAGGGGTTTCCTAGATGCGGAGGTGGGGCTGTGGATTCCCCGGAGTGTTTATGAACTAGCTCCACAGAGATAGCTCCTTCTGAATGCTGGTTAGGGCCAGCAATGAACAGACTCTAGACAAGGCACGCTCTGCGCTGGGTCGGGCACAGGACGGCACTGGGTTCCCTCAGGCAGCGAGCAGGAGGCGAGCAGTGTGATTGTTCGTCTCCCGTCTGTTGTTTGTCCAGCGGGACTGTTATCTTGGGCACGTTGACATCCTCGGGCGTGCTTCTGATTCAGCCTCCTCGGCTCCCCAGCTTTGGGCGGCCACGTAAGGGGGCCCTTCCTTGCAGACACCGTCTGCTTATCAACAGTGCTCCCGTAATTCAGAGCAAGAGTTTGGTGCTGCTTCTTTGTTTTGTGTGGATAAGAGTATCTTAAACATACTGAATTAACAATTGAGAATTATCTTAAAATCCCACGAGTAGAAAATTAATTTTCTTCTCTTTATTTGACCCCCTCGGGGGTGAGCGTGGGCTCTGACACTCTGGAAGGCATGTGCTTCTGTCCTTGCGTTGTTGAGCGGACAGTGATGACAAGGTGGGGCCGGGGTTCCGTCATTTTCTCTGTGGACACTGAAATGAAAAGCCTAAGAACTGTGACCTGGGCCTCACCCCACCCCTCCATGCTGTTGCTTACCTGTCTGCCCACCTTTCCTCTCTGTCCTGCTTCCTTGCCCTGGATGGGACGGGCACCCCTGGGTCACCTTAGACCACAGGAAATGTCTGGTTAACGCACGAAGAGATGGAAACTCTTACGGCCACACCACAAACGGTTAGTCACGGCACGCTGCGGGGTGCCTCGCGGTGCCTTTCCACCTGTGAGCGTCTGGGTCCTGTGCCTTTCTGTCGGGGAAAAGGTTATTTCACATTACGTTGTTCTGGATGAGTGCTTCCTGCAGGTTAGTGTGTGAACTGTGTTCGCAGGTAGTTCAGGGACTGAGTCCCTGTAGAACAGACTTAGTTCATCTCTCCCTGAGGGGACCTCTGTTCAGCCCTGTGCTGTGCCACTCTGACCTGCGCTGTCTCTGTTCATGCGTGTGCTTGGCGTGGGAGTCTGCTGCTTGCATGAGAAAGGGGGGGTGTCGGCATGAACTCTGCATGAAGCTTTGAGTTTCGTAACCTGCTCACTCAGTTCAACTGCACCTTGGCTGCGAAGTGCAGTTGCCGCCTCCCTAAGCTCACCAACACTAATAGTTCTGTTCTTTTGCATCCGTAACCGCGGAACCTCAGGAGGATGAGGAGGGAAGCTGGGCCCAGGTGGGAGACCTTCTACTACATCCTTCACTCACCGTACAGCAGCAAAAAGTATTGTTGTATGAAAACTCGTAA